CGAGCGGGAAGCCTGGCAGAATCATCCCGGCCTCCTTCGACTGAGCTACTTAATGAGTCCAACAGTGCCACTTGTCGAGCTACATCACAGCCGAGCTTAGTAGCATTCCAGTACGGCCGAGCTCTAGGCAAGTTACGTCGGTCCAAGGGAGACCTTTCCGCCGAGCTACATGCGTGATCAATAAACCCGGGTCGACATGCGATCATCTCGGTCGAATGCGCCCAGGAACTCAACCGAGCAAACCAACTCTGGATTAGCCCAAGTTAACTCGGCCCAAACGTGCTCAGACCCCTTTTTTGTCCGCCCTCTACCATGGCCCAAAGCCAGATTATGAATCTCCCTTTCACTTGTCAAGTCAATATGCACCATTTTTCTACTTTTTGTTGGCCCAATAACCAGAATCCATAATGAGTGGGTAGAGATCATCAACAAATGTAGAAGTAGTCCGTGGCCCGTCATTTGACATACTGTGAATTTGGTTGTCATTCGAGTTTGTTTCATGGCTTTGTTGCAGCTCAATCATCATTTCCTTCGGTTCCAAGCAAACTTAAAATATTTATTGCTTATTATATATAAAGAAAATTCATGTTCGAGTAATGTAAGACATAGCAATACCCTACATGACACCCAATAATTGTTTCTCGGGTGAGCAAGTCTCTTTTATCTTGTTCTCCACACTTTATTCCCTAAAGTGTCATAATAGTAACTACTAACAAAAATCGTAAACTAGTTTTGGGGAAAACATTTGTGTAAAAACAGAGGTTAATGATATTGAAAATTTATCATGTAAATTACCATGAGAAATTAAAGACAATCAATCATGGTTTCCCAGATAATGACATGTTTAGGCAAAGGATAATACATGATGGTTGTGATTAAAGTAACTTGTCAAAATTCAACAAAAAATAGATCCCTTGTTCAGGTAATGCATTTCCTTTCCATCTATTTCTTTATTATTTTACTCATGAATTTTCTTTATTAACGGTAGAGTTGACTTTGTTGCAGGTGCTTCAGAAGTAATTAGTGTATTTTTTCATTAATGGGTATTATCTTAAATGATTTCTCTACTCTATCACAATAACCAAATTATACCTGGGGATAAGAAACCTGAAAGACTTATAAATCTCATTTTCATTGTAAAGAAGGTGAATTTTTTGTTTTTGTATTTTTGTATTTTTTTTGAACAAAGAAGGTGAAGCACTTGTTATGTTATGTTTTGTGAAACAATTGGGATAAGGATTTGGTTCACATGAATTTGAATCTTTGGGTGTTTGGTTTATTAATTTATGTTGCTTTTGTTTTGTTTATTTGATTCTTTCTTTTTTCTTCTTTCCCATTCATAATATATATGGAAAACAGAGACATTATGTTATCAGCAAAGCATGGAAAATTATAGATTCAAAACAATTTCTTAAAATGCATGAACTTTCTCTCTCTCTCTCTCTCTCTATATATATATATATATATGTACGTGTGTGCAAAGCCTTCATGTTCTATTGATCCTTGATTTAGGTAATTTTTTTCTTAAGGTTAAGGGATAATCTATCATGCTATATTAACTAACTTTGATTCACTCCAAAGCCTTCAACATCTTGCTTCATATTATGACAGAAAATAGAAGAAACTAGCTTTGATTCAAGCATGGGAAGAAAATAAAAAATAAAAAGCAAAGTGTAGTGTAATTCCTTTTCTCTTTTTTTCTTATGTACTATTCATTTTGTGGTGGTGTTATTAGCTTCTTTCATTTCATTGTTTTATCATATATCAATTTGCAACATAATTGGAAAGTATCTTATATACTAATGTTGGTGACTTACTATAAAATATCTTCTATACTATCCACTAATGATTACTATGAATTCAATAGAAGGGATTTACTTGTGATATGTTGAATTCTTTCTATTTGTTTTTAATTTCACTTTTTAGAGAATATTTTTTTTTCTTACTTGCTGATTTTTGCTTGTATTGCAGTGCGTCATCATCAAAGCATTTAAAGAGTATATTTATGAGACTCCATTCTAATTGGTATAGACAATTCTATGAGGCCGATTCTAGCAATTACAAGGAACTTATAAGAACTCAATTTGGGCATTGACTTCCATAAATATTATTGAAGTACTATGGCGATACACACTTTTCATAGATATGAAGATTACCTTTTTTCGGATATGTAAATATTTATTTGTTTAATTTTTGTTTCTGATATTATGATAATGATATTAACTTTGTTAAAGTAGGAACAATGTTTTGATTTTATTTTATTAGTAAAGAATAATATTGCTATATTTGTGTCAATTGTAATTACATTTAATAAATGAAATTTTATTTGTTTATCTTACAAACCAAAATATCAATGGAGCGAATGTTGTAAAACAATTATTTATTTATTTTTGTTTTGTTTTTCAATTTATCTCCATTTATGGCACAAATGAATGGTGAAGCATCACCACTTTGATCTGTCACTAAAAGTTGGATCTAGTGACATTTATAGGAGTTGTTAAAAATATTAATTATGGCATAAGAAGAGCCATTAAAAAAGTATATAGTGGCATTTTTTAAATTGTAAGTATTTTTTAATGGCGCTTGGTAGTGTCATGAATAGTGTTTACAATGACATTAAAGTGTCACTAAAAGGGTTTAGCCTTCATGGTGTAGTCACACTTACAAGTGCCATTATTATCTACCGTGGCATCAATATAAATGGCACTCGTTTAAAACGCCACAAAATTAAAAAATGTCACTAAAAGAATAGTTTCGTGACACTTTCAAGTGTCACTGAACTAAGAAAATGTTATAGTGCTAATTGTAAGTTTTAGTGACAATTTATAAAAATTGTGGCAAAAAATTCACTAATTGTCAATTTTTAGCGACATTCGTAAAAATTATTTTTGCTGACGATTTTACTAACTTTCAATAATGAAAATTAAGTTCAACTATTAAAACCTATTGATAATTTATCCTATATTTTTTTAATTGAAAATATTTTTAATTCACTTTAGATAGAAGAAATCTTGATATTATTGATTGATATTAGGCTTCTAACAGCATACATCATTATTTTGAGGCCTAAATTGAACAAAAATGATTTTATCTAGAACACTTCAATACATGTGCCTTTCATTTATTTGAACTAGTACATTTATAGAAGAAAATAAGTATATATGAGGTTTCATATTTCTATTTGTAATTATGATTTGATCATGTGAGACTTCATCAACTTTAATTTTAAGCCTGAACAAATAACAAATATTTTGAGCTTTCCCATTACTTACATTTGCTTAATACAACAATATATATAAGTATTGTAAAATTTTGGGAGCCTTCTCAACTAGTCTTCAGTAGTTTTTAAACTCGCCTGATGGACGACCAACTCTGTTAGAGATTCAAAATACCTATACAAAAAATAAAAAAATAAAAACAATGTGGAACTATATTTATTTTAAATATGAATTTTATCCCGTTTCGATGATTCGAACTATTTATTTTGTCAAACACGTTGTATATTTCATTCATACAAAAAATTAGGTCGATCCGATAACTATAAATTGTTTAATTTATTACGTTTCTCATTGAAAAATGTATAGTTTATTTTAAAAAACACAATTGTTGTCTATTTTTTTAGTAAAAAAATTGAACAAGTTACAGTTATCAGATCGATCAAATTTTTTTTGTGGATGAAATATATAAAATGTCCGACAAAATGAATGATTTAGATCATTGAAACGCGGCCTGTGATAGGCCTCACGGACCCAAACAGCACCCTCTGGTCCAAAATCTAGACTGGGGGAGATCTTTCTCCTAAAAAATATAGATGGCACATATCAAATGGTATTTTAAACTTATTCATATGTAAAGAGTAGAACTAGAGATTCATAATCATTCAACCCACCAATTTTTTTTAAAAAAATAGTACATAGTCAAATTCATTTTAAATATGAATTATATCATTTAAAAATTGAATGCGAATTATATCATATAAAACTGAATATAGATTGCGTATGAATTTGGGGCTCTAACTTTCACTACAAGAAATGTCACTTTTGACTACCAAAATATTGGTCGCCAAAAGTCAAATATTTAGTCACCGAAACGATTTAGCGACCAAAATATTTTGTCGCTAAGCTTGTCGCCTTTACCCTGTTGGCGATAGTATTGGCGACTAAAATTTGTTTGGTCGCCGAAAGTGACTACATTTGGCTACTAATTTTAGTTTAGCGCCACTAAAGTATTAGTTGTCGAATGAGGCTTGTTGGCTACTAACTTGTTGTGGTCGGGGAAGGTATCACTTTAGCTACTAAATAATTCGTCACCAAAAGTACACATTTGGCTACTAATTTTAGTTTAGTCGGCAAAAAGTATGTTTCTGCCACTAAAGTATTAGTCGCCGAATGAGGCTTTTTGGCTACTAACTTGTTGTGGTCGGGGAAGGTCTCACTTTTTAGCTACTAAATAATTCGTCGCCGAAAGTACACATTTGGCTACTAATTTTAGTTTAGTCGGCAAAAGGTATGTTTCCGCCACTAAAGTATTAGTCACTAAAAGTGCTACCATAATTTGAGAATAACTATTATAGACCAAACATTTTTGTCACCAATAGAATACATATTTTTAGCGACTAAGTAATTTTTGTCATTGTTACTTTTGCCCACTAAAAGTTTCGTAGCCAAAAGCCTCCTCACATTCACTTCTTCACTTTTTGCCACCAAACGTTTTAGTCACCAAATGATACCATTTTTTTCCGTGACTAAAAAATTTAGTGGCCAATAGTTTGTTTTTGCTACTAAATTCTTAGTCACCAAAACATTTGATTACGTATTTAGCTACCAAAATATTTGGTAGCCAAATACTTTAACGTTTTTTTTTTAAAAAATAAAATTTTCTAAACCACCTGTATCCATTATTAATACAACCTGTACCCTATATAAACAATATAATCCATCAACGGTAAATATGTTATCAAGCATTCAACAACGTGGACACATTTCAGTTCCAACCATCCAAAAAATTAATATTGAACGTCCACTTATATATATATTATAAATTTCATAAGAACCAAGTCTAATCCCACGTCAATAATTTAATTCCATACATAATACTGGAATAACCAAATTAATTGTACACCTAGAACTTCTGTACCACAACAAAAATTATATTCTGTACTGCCACAAAATTATTTTGTACCACGTGCTATGTTAATTTCTACCAAATTAGCTGATATTTACTCTACCAAAAAAATATTTTGTACAAACCACTATATATACGGTTAGAGATATAAAAACAATGCCCTCCCGTACTTGTCAACAAAAACATATCCACATTTGTATGTCCAAAAACATCTGCAAAAAAGGGAAAAAAAAATCATTAGTTTGGTGCGTGTAGAGGCACTTCTGGACGACACATATATATCGTAATAATTTCAAACATTAAAAGACAAGGAGAGTAATATCTATTAACTAATGCAAGACATCCAAACATGGACCCATCATGAGTTCTTGTTTTAGCTTTTAAATCTTTAAATCTATCTAAGTAAATTTTAGTACTTAAATGTGAAAGTAAATTGTGTAGGTATTACGAAATTACCAAAATTTTGGGTGTACTTACCATTTCATCAAAAAATTATTTGTTATAAAAATGTAAGAGAACCCATCATTAGAGTTTGTTTGGTATCCATAAAACTCACTATGCTTATGTTTTTGTGACCTCCATGAAGCTTCCAGTTACGTTAAAACAGTGCTTTTGTGACCTCCACGGATGGAAATTAATATGGTCTTTTTCTTCATAAAAGATTCTAATTTTCTTGATATAATCATTGAAATTTTGGAAACGCTTTCCTTAAAGAAGAAACTAATTAGTGGGTTTATAGATGTAGATATGCTTCTGTTTGTGAATGAGTAATGCCTTGGGCTCTTTATAGGCTTATGGGGACAAGAGCTATATAAGATTATGCTTAACTATTCTTCCATAACACCATCTAATTTTGATACGTATCTTCAATACTTAGCTTATTTAGTCCTAAGTTCCCTGTTCTGTTGCTGAGGAATTATCCTCTCATCAGCCAAATCTTGAGGCCATGTTATATATATGAACTGTCTATTGTTCAACTGTTGTTGCACATTTTGTAGTGGTGATAGTTAAACTTATCAAATACAGAATTGCGCCTAAACCTTAGCTGAACTTTACAAATCCATTGTTCGAATTTCCAAACGATTAGGTCAATAGGATATATCCTTCGTCACATTTAGTTCTTGCAAAATGGTGCCCCCCGATCCCCTTTTTTCGACTAAGTTTATGACATTTTCAAATAATCTTGAATTGATGATGAAACACCCCCTTCTCAGGAGCAAATTGCAGATACAAAATTACAAATAATCTAAAAACATTGCTTCTGATATATGAACCATGGTAATAGATAAATTCCAAAGTGTCACAGAAGGCTTAACAAGCACTGCAGTCCCACTTATTATGTCTCAACTAACAGTGTCAGAGCCCATATTCATTCACTATTTTCTCAGATTTACGTATTGATTAGACACTTAATACCATTTAAGCAAGCAAAACTCAATGAATAGAAATATTGGGGCCTGAACAATTTCATGTGCTAAATAGAGACCAACTAAGAAGTTGAAATCTACAAATAAAAAACATTCGGGAAGTTATAATGTCGTGAATCATGATGAAATCAGTCCTAATCCAAAATCCAAAACCAATAAATTGTTTGTCACTCCTATGCATGTCTACAAAACATTCATTGAACATAGATATCTAAGCCAAAACATGAAAATGCCATAAGGAAACTTTACTTTTGTTGTTTTTCAGAGCAGTTCAATAAATTGTTTGTTCACAACTTCTGGAAGAACCCGTAAAGTTGGGGTTCCCAAAACTGGAAATTTATATTATCATTCTACAAATATAACAAATATACCCTTTGATTCTTTTCGAAAGTAAATGCATCCAGTAAAGACAGATAACAAGAAATAGAAGTCAATCCATAAATATATAGCAATAGCAATAGCAACAATAGGGTAAGAGATAAACTACACAGTCTGCAGCCGAGAAGCCTCTTTTCGTTGCTTCTCTCGACACCTGCATTGGCTTCTCTCTCACAAAGTGTAGATGCATTGCCATTAAGGACTCCAATTCTCTGCAAGAACACTGCAGTTTTGACCTTATTCTTCCAACAGTTCAACAAACTAGGATGTGTTTGGACTTCTATTATAGATTGCAAGCATTATGAATTATCAAAAACTTAGGGCCTGTTTGGACATCTTTGTTGTTCATCTTTGTGAAATTAAAGAAATAGATTTATGAAGAAATCAAAATTATATACTAAAAACATATACTGATAATTACAACTAAATTTCAACAGAAATGTACAAAATAATAAAATGATAAAGAAACCAAACCGAAGCCTGCACGGTAGCAGTTTCCTTAAAATAAATTTCGCCGCCTCACGGGTCGAGTGCTTGAGGAATCCCGGCATTTGTCTCCCAGGATTCGACGGTCAAAAACCAACTACGGCAGAAGCACTCTCTGTCTAGCTTAGCGAACAAAAACAGTGGCAGCACTCTCTCACAGTAGGAACTTTCTGGCAAACTGACTAAAGAATGGAAGAAACAATTTCTGTGTTTGAGACTTGACAGGAGGGTCTCAATTTATACATGTATAGGGGAGAGATGAGAAGCCTCCAACCTTTATGGCTGGTCACTAATGCACCATTAACCTCTGCAATAAAGGCAGGAGTTACAAAGCCCATTAATGCACTATTAAACTCTGCAATAAAGGCAGGAGTTACAAACCCCATAAACTCTTTCATGAAGCTAACTTCATGGGACAATTTCTCATTCAATTTTCAATGGTTTTGGCCATTCTATTTGTGGTGTAAAGATCTCATTGCAAAGTATCTAGACCCACTTGGACCCAACACAATAGATGGTTGGGACCCACTTTAATATTTAATTAAAGTCACCAAAAAACCATTTTTTCCAACAATCTCTTCCCTCAACATACCAAACACAGTAAAATTGATTGTCATGTTGTCTGGGATAAAATTCACGGCCCAAACTCGAAGGAGTGTATTAGAGATACAGCTGCATATGCTTGAAGACAGCCCCTAATTAGCAATTTTATTCAACAAACATGGCTTTGATTGTACATTCCTTGTATATATTTCAGTTATGTATTCCTGGATTCAACCCCTTAGACTGCTAAATTTTTTATTTGTAACAAATTCAACTATGTAAGGCTCCACTCCCTTCCCACATCATTATGGGTGAATTTAGCAATCTAAATTGTGGGTTTTAACATTTCTCTAACATATAATGAGAAAGTGAGATGCTGTATTCATTCATGCTGTAGTAATTTCATGTCTTTTACTCTGTTCTAATCATTCATGAGAAAGTGCTAACTTAGATTACTTCAATTCTTAAGTGGTGGGAACAATGCTTACATGCAAGGCATGCATTGTTAGAACTTGGAAGGATTGCGTGTAAACTAAATGGTGTAAACAATTTATTTCCAATTCCTGTCTCCACCGAGTATCTGGAGAACAATTTCAGTTCTGCTTATGCTTTTCTGTTTGGTGAGAAAAAGATCATACCCATACCATGATGAAAGACATAAAGCAGCTATTATCTATCAAAAAGACATGCAACAGAAAGAAAGTTTTATGAAGATAGTATCTGTACCGTGTGTGCCAAAATTTGAAGGGAAAGCTTATTTGATTCAAGGCCATAAACATATATTGAGTTATCACTGCTACAGCAACAAGCTCTCGCCCATCAGTCGAAAATTTCACAGAAAATATTCCAAAAGAGTATCCTCCATCGTCATCAGAAAAATCCAAACCATCATGAATCTCCTGCACAACATATATTAGTTGTTGTTCACCAAATTGCAGTGTCTACTAAATTCCAAAACAAAGGATTTTTGTACTTAATACCGTGATGTTTGCATGAGATTCTGTTGCTGCGGATCCAACATTAACAATATGGACAATAGGTGACGTGCTGGCATAAACCTGTAAAAATGATGGCCAAATTGACAGAGAATGAGATTTCTTTAGAGTCAGAGAGAGAGGGAGCAAAAACCAAACATAATGTAATTTTGAATATACTACAAATGATACTGTAAGGATCTCAATTAACCAATTACAGCATCTTCCAAACAGTTCTTCCAAATAAGGGAGCACCTTTTAACATCATAGATATAATTGGGAGAGGGAAATGCATGAGAGTGAATAATACAAAGAAATGCCACAACATACCTGCATGTCTTGATGAACACAAATTTCCAATCATAGTTTGCATCGTCACATGCATATTTCAGTTGACACAAAAGCAAAAGAACTCACCAAATAGCATTGATCTGGGGAAAGGGATGTATCAGTAATTGTCCATCGCAAACTTTTGGCAAGAATGTTTTTTTGAAGTGAAAACAACATTGTCATAATTTATTCTAGTGTTGCTTCCCTGTATTGAGAAAGAACAAATAAATAAATAACTAAATCTGAATCAAACTTTACATTTTTCCTTCTCCTAAGAGAACAATCAGAACAGACTTAACATGCACATTAAAGAGCTGTCAAATTTTAAATTTCTCAGACCTAATTCCAAAACAAGAAAGTAGTACTTGAAACCCTGCAACAAAGAGGGAACCATCAGCTGAAAACTGGAGACATAAGCCCGGGTAGTCATCTCAAGCGACAACAATCGAACAAAAACAGAGCCGAGAGGGAGAGAGAGGATCTCAGGCGACGGTGACCAACAAGGAGGTGAATCGGTGCTCCGGTTGCCGGCCAACGCAAGGAGGAGCGGCGGTGAGAGTAGAGGAGAGAGAAGCGGCGGTGAGACTGGAGGGGAGAGGAGCAGCGGTGAGGGAGAGGGAGAGGGAGAGGGAGAAGGACGCTGAAGAGAGAGAGAGAGAGAGAGATAGAGAGAGAGAGAGAGAGAGAGAGAGAGAGGCGCTATTAATGATTCAGGGTTGGGTTTGGTTTGGTGAGAGCGTGAGATATTTTATGTAAATAGTTATTGGCGACTAAAAATTTTTGTCGGTAAAGGTATTTTATAATTCCCTCTAAATATTTGAAATGTCTCCCTCCAAAACATTTACTTCTTTGGCGACTAAAATTCAATTTTGTCGCTGAAAACAAACTTTTGGCCACCAAAATTTTGGTCGCCAAAGGTAAAAATAATTTTTGTATTTTTCGTTTTCATTCGACAAAACGAATCGAAAAATTATAATTTTTTTATAAAATTTCAAAAAAAATTCAATAAAGATAAAAATTAACAAAAAAAAATAGTAAATATTTGTTGCTTATTTTGAATTTTGAATTTTTAAAATTTTTTAAAACATATATATTTCTTAGATTCGGCTCGATAAAATGAATTGAAAAAATAAATTATCTTAAAATAGGTGTTTTTTTAGATGTTGCCCAATGGTTCATGTGATACAAAAATAAAATTTAAAATATTAATTTATTATCTTAAAAGAAAATAGAAGTAAATGTTACAAAGTTTCTATACAGATTCAAACCAATGTTTTAAAAATCGGACCGGTGAGCGAACCGGAAAAGGGATCTAATATATTAGTGCTTGCGTATTTTTTAGTAGTCTAAATCATTGGTGATATATATATATATATATATATATAGGCGGAAGCATATATATTATGAAGGAGATGGATTACGAAATCAAAACCAGACCAAACATTGGAATAACACATTAAAACATTTTACATTAAAACATAAAATAACTTACAATTGTATTAGTAGCAACTGCAAGGATCTTAAATAGGTATAACAGGAAACTGGTAAGGCTCTCAAAGCACTCTGGTTTTTTCTTACAACAGAAAATGGAGAAGAAAATTGGAGTCCTCCTGAATGCTTACAATTGATTACAATATAAAGAAATAAAAAGCAAAACAGTGAGCATGTGAATTCTGAAAGCAGCTGGCCGAGCAGGTGAAAAGCAGATGCTGTCGGATGCTTTCGGTGGAGTGATTACACAACTGAGCAGCCTTTAGCAAAAGTTGATTGGTTGAATAGTGACGGTGAACAGTAAAAGTGAACAGTAGCTTTTACTATTCAATACTTTCGGTGGAACATGTGAATTATGAGTCAATATAAATACAAATTGGCAGCTTTTCTCAAAAGAGTATTGATTGAAGCTAATTTGTATTTATATGGAATCCAATGTTGATCAGATAAATGGGTCTTGAGCATCTTGAAACTCTGGTCCGGAATATTGATTGGTTGATTCTTCAGAGGAATGGACCTGAGCTGAATCATCTGAATTATCTGAATCGGTGGATTGGGCTTTAGCTTGATTCAACAGTTGATGGGCTAACTGGATCATGTCGGCTTTGGATGATTGGGCTTTACTTTTGGATTTCCCTTTGAGCTGGACAGGAGGTGGAATGGGCTTTGCCTTGACTTTGGACTGTGCTTTGGGCTTGGATTGGGCTGGTTGAGCAGCAACAGCTTTGGACTTTGATTTTGTTGATTTGGGCTTGGAGCCACTGGATGAGGGGCTGCCAAGGTTGACTAGAGGAAGACTGGGCTGGCTGCCTTGAGTGATTGCAGCAGTTGGGTTCTGCTGGACTTGAGCAAGAGCAGGAGTTGGAGCAAATTGATCAGGTGGAAATTCTGCTGGAACAATTTCAAGAATTCTGGGAACATTGAATTTTTATTTTTATTTTATTTTTTATTTTTATTTTTAAAAAAGAAGCTTCTTTCAATTTTATTTTTCTCATTTAAAAAAAAAAAGAAAGTCAAATTTCAAGTGGAGACAAATTTTTTTTATTTTCATTCGGCTACCAAACAATTTAGTAGCCAAAAGTAGGTCTACAGCGACTAAAATTTATTTTGTCGCTGAAAATATATTTTTGGTGACCAAATTTTGGCCGCCAAAGATCAAAAATAATTTTTTTTATTTTCATTCGGCTACCAAACAATTTAGTAGCCAAAAGTAGGTCTACAGCGACTAAAAGTTATTTTGTCGCTGAAAATATATTTTTGGCGACCAAAATTTTGGCCGCCAAAGATCAAAAATAATTTTTTTTATTTTCATTCGGCTACCAAACAATTTAGTAGCCAAAAGTAGGTCTACAGCGACTAAAAGTTATTTTCTCGCTGAAAATATATTTTTGGCAACCAAAATTTTGGTCGCCAAAGATCAAAAATAATTTTTTTTATTTTCATTCGGCTACCAAACAATTTAGTAGCTAAAGGTGCCTCTACGGCTACTAAAATTTATTTTAGTCGCCAATTGTGATATGTTTAGCTACTAAAAATTTTTTTAGTGGCCAATTGTAATATTTTTAGCTACTAAATTTATTTTAGTCGCCAATAATCAACATTCCCATACTAAAAAAAATTAGTAGCTAAAAAGTTCACTTTTGCCTACTAAAATTAATTTTGGTAGCCAATTCCCACACTTTTGGCGACTAAATTTGTTTTGGTAGCCAAAAATGGTCGCCAAAAATGTGTTTTCTTGTAGTGTTTATTGTAAAAGTTATGGTTATAAACACACAAACGGTGGTGCTACATATACCAACTAGTGTAATAACATTATTACTGACCGTACCTATTATACAAATTACAAATACCTAAAATCTCTAAAATTGTGTCACATCATCTGTTAGTACACTACTTGATGTATATAACATTATTCTTTAACGCCTCATTTGAGAGGGATAAGAAGACCGGACAAAATTAAATTATCATCCTCACATTTAATATATGAGTTGGAGATTTGTCATTCTTTTTTAATGTTATTACACCTCGTTGAATTCTAAAATAAACAGACTATATAAATGTTAGAACTTTCTTTCGTCTATAACTATTATGTCATTATAAATGTTAGAACTTTCTTAATCGTTCTTCAATTTAAAATAAAAGAAATCATCTTTTAGCCAAAAGAATAAAGAAGTGCACATTTTGCTACAATTATACATGTACAGTTTATCAGAAGCACTACACAGTCATCTGTTGTAAAGGAATTTCTAAAGAAGAATAATAAATGAAAACTAGACAAGTCAATATGCACCATTTTTCTACTCTCTGTTGGCCCAATAACCAGAATCCATAATGAGTGGGTAGAGATCATCAACAGATGTAGAAGAAGCAGTCCATGGCCCTTCATTCGACATACTGTGAATTTGGGTGTCATTGGAGTTTGTTTCATGGCTTTGTTGCAGCTCAATCATCATTTCCTTCGGTTCCATCTCATCGCTTGAGACCATTGAATCTGAAACCAACTCCTCAGTGACTGTCCTGCTTTCAAGCATGCTTAGAACTGAAGACATAGTAGGTCTAACTGCCGGAGAGACATCAGTGCACAAGAGAGCAAAATCAATCATCGCCACAACCTCCTTTTTGTTGAAGTCTGATCCCAACATCAATCAATCTCTTCTCTCTATTTTTTTTTCAAATTTTTTTTTACATTTTTTCGTAAAAAAAAAAGAAAAAATTCACTAAAAATTCCAATTCCCAAACTCTCCCTAAAGTTTGAACAAAAACATGAAAATTTAGACAAAAACCATGTTGAAACAATTTAAATACAAATTTAACATAATTAAAATATCAAAAATCAAAATGATACAAAACTCATATTTTATAGATTAACAGTGTACTTAACCCTAACATCATTCAATTATATAAAGCGTGTATTTTATTGATGCGAATGGTGCCACATTTTTACTTTTCCAAAATTAGCTTCCACATGGAATAAATCCTAAACTAATATTTCTCATTCAACAAACTATCAAAAAATTTAAATGTAAAACTACAGACATGCAACAATTGCACCCATAGCTAATATATATATTTTTAAGATGATAATAATGATAATAATAATGGGTAGCAGGAAGGATGATAGAAGAAATGAGGATGGATGGGGATGGGTACCTTGGTAAATTGCAAGAAGCGGGGTGTCGGCTATAATAGAGGTAGTTGTGATCAGGGCGGCCATTGTTCTCACAGTTGAACTCTTTCTCGATGAAAGGACTGTTATTCCCCACAAAGGTGGGTGTAAATTAAATGCATAAATTAAATAAATAATTAAACAAAATAATTCAGAAAATAATCATATACATTATTTTCCGAATTAAATGCTTAAAGAAAATAATGTCGGGACTTATGTTGGCCACAATTTTCTTAAAGTAGATTTCGCCATCGCTCCGGTGCTTCGAGATATAACCGGCGTCTACTTCCCAGGATGCAACGACTAACACTTAATTTTACAACACTATAAAATCAAGTATGACGAACCAAACAATGCTATAACTCTTTGTCTTTCTTTTCCTAAAAAATAAATATAGAAACAGATGCAGGAGCAATAGATGACGAACATAAGAAGAAAGGGAAAAAGTTTGAATTTTTTTTAGCTTGAACATGAATTGCTGGAGTAGACTTTATATAGGCAGATTGGTGGCTGTTCGAAC